CATATGGAAAACAGAATCAGGGCCCACCGTCGAAGGCCCCTCCGTCACGCCTGAAAATAAAGTAAAAAACAACAAAAAAAAAAAAAAAAAAAAAACCCAAAGAGAAGCACATACGGAATATACCTAACCCCCGCATCCTCCAACGTCGCTAATACCTCTGACGGCAACTAACACACACATCCACCACATTAGCAATGCACATCCACCTAACACTAACACCCACACACACCCCCCTCCAACTAAAAGGATGAATCCCACTCACCGTCCCCGTAACCTTCGTCGCATACGTGCCCGGCACATACCCATCCAGCCGCTGCCAGCGCGCAACCCACGACCCCCGCTCATCAGCCAACGTAATCAGGCCCTCGAAGACCTGCGACGTGCATTCTTGGATCCGATCGCTGTTTCCGCGCAGGTTTAGGACGCTGTCGCAGTTCGGGCAGCCGTCGCGGAGGAATTTCTGGGGATGTGGAATGGGGGGGGTTTTCGGTTAGTGATGGGGATTGATGGGGAAGCTAGGGGAAGGGGGTGGGGAATGGGGAAGGGGGGGGATTGGTAGGTTGGTTTCTTTTTTTTGCTTACGCTGTGGAGTTGGACGATTGAGCAGACCATGCATGCGCGGAGGGAGCGCTGTTGGCCGGAGGGGACGAAGAAGGTTGGGGTTGTGGTTGATGACATTGTGGTAATGATTGTGTGGAGTTGATGGGGTGAGGTGATTCTTCCCGTCTATGTGGGATGTCTGTGTTTTTGAGAGAAGCAATGAGTGCTCGTAAACGGAGTATAAGTTGTCGGAGGGCTGAGATTCTTTTCCAGCTTCGGTTTTGATAGCGCGACTGATTAAACGCGATCTGATCTGATCGATCTGATAACGGGCACGTGATTTAATATTCTGCTTACTAACAAGCATGGCGCTAATTTCTAGCTTCCCGAGGTTTCTCTTGGCGCGTCCTCCTCAGCTCTCCTCCGCCAAACATCCAGAAAAAGCAAAGAAAACAACGAACGACTGAAAATTATGTCCAACGCCAGTCTGCGACTTGCATCTCATTGTATTGCCTTGCTTCCCAGCTAGCCAACGACCTATTTTTTTAACCCCTCATTGAGTTTGCCAAGGAACGCCCCCTGCTCTTCCCATGCGGCAGAGTATGAGAAGAGAACCTCCCCAGTGGAAAGCGATTTGTTGACGAAGGCGGGCTGCAGTGATCTCTGGATTCAAGATTGGGGGGATCAACACTAGCGGCTTAATTTTGGCATGGTCGAGATCCTGATCCATCGTCTTGGCTGCCGGTTGGCAGTTTATAGGAGGGAGCTGTCAGTGGAGAGGGCACAGAACTGGTGGCGGCAGAAGTATCTCGTTCTGCGCGTCCAGATTTGTCGGTCTTTACCTATCAACAGCCTGGTTTCTTCATCCTTACCTGCTCTTCTTGCTGGTATGGATGTTGTTATTATGTCCCAAAATCTGCACAACAGTTTCTTCGCAAGGCTAATGTGACGATTCACCAGCTTGAACCGTGCCAGATATTTTGCTAGCTAGGTGCTTCGTCATTGCTTAATCAAGGGAGTAGTCCCCGATAACGAAGCCTCTCAACTTCATC